AAGAATGTTAGGAAAATATCCAGCCCATTAATAGGATGTTAGAAATACTTACTTCAGTTACATATTGCTGTGTAACAAACAGTTGGAAGATACAATGGCTTAGAAGCATAGCCATTTTATTATCTCACAGTTTTGTGGGTTGACTTGTCTTAATCAGGTGATTTTGCTGGTTGATCTTTTGAGGTTCTTATTGGGTTGCAATCATATGGCATTTGGGGTTAGTCATCTGTAGGCTACATTGAGACACTGGGATACTAAATAATAAATATAATTTATTTTTATGTATACTTAATGTTTGAAGATTTACTGGTTTTTAAATTATTACCTCTTTTCTCCTCGGCATGTAGTTTCAGGATATCTCTTATCCATTGGTGTCTCCATTGTTTTACATGGTAGCTCAGGGCCCCCAAAGTGCATAAATGAAAGCTTCATTGCTTTCTTAGGGTTGAGGCTCTGAATTGTCATAGCATCACTTCTGCCACCTTGTAGTGGCTGAAGGTACAAGAGGTAAACTCTACCTCTCAATGATAAGAGAACTTGAGGCAATCTTTAAACACCATACAGTCTGTCCTGTTGTCACAAGTCATTTATTTTCTTCCCACAGGCAAATCCTACTTACTTCCTTTCAAGTCATTCCCTCTGATGTCATTAAGGCAGGAATTGACAAACTTCTGTAAAAGACTAGATAGTAAACATTTTTTGCCTTTGTTAACAATAAAATGTGTCACATATACTCACTGCTGCCATTATACTGCCAAAGCTAATGACCGTATCTAGGTTCTGCTACTAATCTGCAAATGTGACAGCAGGTCAGATTTGACCCCCCACTTGGTAGTTTGCTTATCCATGCATTAAGGCTTGAGTCCTGAAGTCCAGGATCTTGATATTCAAATCAAGTCTCCATATAGCTCAAACCACCCAGGTGTTGCTCTTATTGGATCTGAAGGCTGAAGTAAAGAGACAAATTACCTGCCTCCATATAAAAACAGTGGTGTGACAGGACAAAAGAACTATAATAGAACTCCCATTCAAAAAGAAGAGAAAAACAGGAAGCTCCTAGCAATTCAGAATTGGTTTATTGCAATTCAGAATTCCAGTGGGGACAGTGGTTTTTTAAATTAGGGCCCAGTTTTATTCTCTGAGAGTGCTTCTTAATGGATCTTGATTCTGCCTTTGGTTCTTCCCCCTCTGAGTTATTCTTTTTGTTCCCTTAGAAACAAAAACAAAATTCTTTGTTAACAATAGTATCTTTTCACCTCTTTTGTAACCTTACTAAGTTGGAAGTCAAATGTCTCTCTTCTTTTTTGAATAGTTTTTATCTCTTTTAGTCTAAACTAGAATAATTTGTCTTAAAACTTGAGTTTTTCAACTCTGTTGGACAAAAGCCATTCCACATTTCTCTAAGAATGGTCCATTTTCTACTTTAGGTGAAATGGAATGCTAATAAGTCTCTCCATTTTTTAGTTGAGTGGGGCTAACAGAAACAAACTTAAGTCTCTATGAAGTCTCAAAAATTGTTTTCAAGACAAATCCTTGAAAACCTTTGCCTCAGGCTGTATTTTAATAGTGACAGTCTGACTTGATCATTCTCTTGGGCCATTTCTCGTTTTGAGAGTCTTTGCTCTCTAGAAATTTTGGGAGGAAAAAAAATAGTTTTATTTTCAAACCCTGTAAGACCTCCTTTGTTTGTATCTTCTGTTAATCAAATCGTTCACTTTAAAAACCCATCTTATTTCTCCCACACTTTATTCTAGGCAGCTAAAATAAGCCAATTGGGCCTTTAAAACATTCTGTCTGTAAGTCTCCACACGCAGATCCATGAGTTCATCATGTACCCTTTATATCTTTCATGTAATAAAATGTGAGTCCCCTTTATCTCCTGTCCCCAGAAACAGATTTGTCACTTTCTTTCAAGCCATTACCAACATGTTCCATAAGTCTTTGTAAATACAGTGGTGGGAGTAGTTTTCAGCCATTGTTTCCATTCCAGTGTGGTTTCATTGTTTTGTTCAATTGAATTGTTTTTTTCTTTTTTCTTGAGCTGAAAAGTTCTAGACAGCTATTTCAATGGAAAGTGTACTACAACGATGCATTGCACAGCTCTTATTTATTCTGGTAGGTTTGGGGACTATTACTAGCTTATTTATGTTATTTTCTTTACCCAGTGGTTGGGAGATACATATGTTAAGGTTAATAAATATGATTATATTATAGTAGATATGAATGATCAGTATATGTAGTAGATACCGAATAAGTGTTCAACAAGATTTTGAGGGAATTTTCTATACAGTCAGAAGATTTGTGTGTGGACATGTTTTATTTGCTCCTTTTTTTCCAGATAACTCTTTTGCTCATATTTTTAATGAGCATGAATTTACATTGTAGTTGGAAGATATCCATATTAATTATTAAATGTGTTCTTTATCTAGGAGTCTGAATTTGTTTCTGCTCACCTTCATGAATGGATAGATTTGATTTTTGGCTACAAACAGAGAGGGCCAGCTGCCGTGGAGGCACTCAATGTTTTCTATTATTGCAGTTATGAAGGTATAAAACTATATACTTTTTCTCTTGCATTATTTGATAAAAATTATTGTTTATGTGATTACACATGGTTTTTTTGAGCCTAACTATTTACATTAACAGAGGCTTTCCAGTAGAAAGATTAAAAAACTGCTGCTTTTTTTTTTTTTTTTTTGTAATACTGTTTAAATGTATACAGTAGACCTTAGGTAACCATGGATAGATGGTTCCATGTAGACTGCCATTGAGGAAAAACTGAATGCTCAGGGTGCCTTGAGCTCAGTATTGTACTGTGGATACTTGATTCATTTTTCCCATAATGCCACCAAACTTCCACTAAAGGCATGCTGTCTTTCAGCAAATCTAAAGTTTGCCCTTTTATCACTTTAGTTAAGCACACTAACTTTTACCTTGCTTTTTTGGGTACTAGTTGCTTTTGGGGGATCTTGTTTTCATAAAATTAAGGAAACACTCAGTAGATCACACAATGATTTAAACACAGCTGACAATAAGACTGCCCAATGCACAGCTGTGAGAATTTATGTTTTATTTTTGAAATTTCTTTTGAGTTTTAAAATTTGTTTTTGACTATGCTTGGTCAAAACTGCATTTAATAAATCTGCAAATAAGACCATTTTATTGTATATTCAAATATAGTCATAAATGCCAGTGTTGGTATCTTAAAGTTTTTGATGCTGGAACATGTGTTCCATTTAGTCAGGTTCTACATTAACTATTCTGAATTAAATTGTTAGCAAACTTTGAAAGAAGGCCTTTAGAATTACCCATAATAAGTTCTTCAAATGCCCTTATTTAGCTCAGGATCAAGAATGTTTTCTGATGGCTTTAAAAGGCCAAGAAGTAGTAATTTCCTTTCAAATTCTTAAGTAGAGATAATAGTTCTAAAGATTATGAACAGTATGCAGTTATATGAATTTGAACAGCACTCACATGAGTGTTGCTTATTTGATAAATAAGCAAGCATTTTTTACTGTACCATGCTGTACAGGTAATATGTTTATTAAGGAGATAATATTACATGGTTGTTATGGCCAGATAATATGCATGTAAAAATCCATGTTAAGTTTGGCTGAGTATATAATCCGTGAATAAGAATATCATCTTCTCCAACCTTTATTTGAAGCAGTAACTTAAAGCACTATTTTTGTGTAGTTTTTCTCTTAATTGAACCTATCATGAGGAAGATCTAAAATTAGGTGTAGTATTAGGATGATTTATATTTTTCCTACAGAAACTTTTCTAGAATATAAGTTATTTAAAATACTTTAGTTCTAAGTAATGGATGGAATTTATTTTTATATATATTTAACATTTGAAGATTTACTTATTTTTAGAAAGTTACCTCTCCTCAATGTTATTATAAATTGAAGAGTAAAATATTTAGTTGAAAATATGCTAATCAGTCCCTGATAAATTAATCAGTGATGTCACATGCTGATCTGTTTTCACTATATGCTGAGTTGACTACGTCTGGTTTTAGGAGCTGTGGATCTGGATGCCTTAACAGATGAAAAGGAAAGAAAAGCCTTAGAAGGGATGATTAATAATTTTGGGCAAACACCTTGTCAGCTGTTAAAGGTAAACTATTTAACTTATTGACAGCTTTAAAAGTTTAGAATTAAATTGCTAAGAAATAGTACTACCATTATTTTTAAAGACTAATAATTTAAAAACCTTATTTCAGAAAAACATTACACTGTCATTTAAAGATAGAGATTTAATTGATTTTTTCCTATTTTGAAATGACAAAATACTGCAGTTAAGATCCATGTGGCACATGCCTGTAGTTCCATCTACTTGGGAGGATGAGGTGGGAGAATTTTGAGTTCTAGGCCAGCCTGGACATCATATTGAGATCCCATCTCAAAAGATCCAGTTATGTAGAATGCTTGCCTAGCATGCAGAAGACCCGGGATTAAATTCCTAGCATTGGCAGGAAAAAGATCCACTTATATAACCAATTGCTTATAAAGATACAGAAGGATTTTTATTTACTCGGAACACCAATCACTTTATATTTTTTGAGAGAAATAAACTAAGTAACATACTGTATGCCATTAAAACTAACCTTATGGCTGCCCGGAGGCGACCCCCGTCCTGTCCTCACGACGCTGCTGGTGTTCGTGGCCACGCTGCTGATCGTCCTGCTTCTGATGGATGGTGTGCGGCTGGTATTTTGTATGGCATCTATTTTTATCTAAACTCAAGTTTCTACGGGAACTGGTGGGAGACACAGGATCCCAGGAGGGAGACCACGGGCCTTCAGGGTCTGACACTGAAGAAGACCCATCAGCCTCTCCACACAGGATAAGATCTGCTTGCCAATATAGGGCTCCCGTGGATGAAGGCCACTGACCCCAGCCACCATACATGACAAAAGGCAATTGCGAACCTGTCAGTGAAGACAGAAATTCACAAAGGGACTGAAAAAAATTTGCACTTGGATTTCATATCCAATTCAAAAAAGATTTACATGTAAGCCATATAGAAATAAAGGGAATTTAAAACCAAATTGGACCACTGAAAAATTCATC